AATTTGGGAACCACTGCACTTTGGTTCCCAAAGTTGGGCTTGGGACCCAATTTTGGCTCATAAAGCACCTTGGATAATCTCCAGAAATCCATTTAAAAGGGTAATAAAATAATTGCTGCTGTAATATTTTCCCTATAATTATTACCAAAACGCAAAATAAGTATAAATAAGTATTTATGTGTGTACAAGCTGTTTAGATTGTCAAAAAGCCTGTGTTTTTAGGGTTATAAACGGAGTTTGTGTACTCAGACCAGTAATATTTGGGGTCACAAGTTTTTGTCATGAATATTTTGTGGGTCAGAAGACAAAAAGTTTGGGAACCTCTGCTCTAGTAGATTCCAGAGAAAAACAACACGTATGCCTGAAAGTTAAATGAACGAAGTGACTAACAAACAATTTAGGACAAATGGATTGATGTTTGTTCCTTAACATTACATTACAGAAATATTTACATATTGCAGAAAACTGGACAAAAGAAAAACTACAGCTTTTCCTGCTTTAACCATAAAAATTTAGCCTGGTCCTTGCCTTCCTATGCAGTTCGACTCAATTTTTGTTCCMCTTYTCTGCTCTGTWTGMAGCAAAGCGWAYGGAGCTGGTTTTTACCAGGCTAATAAAGATYCATTTTTGTGTTATTTTTAGACTTACAAAGTGGCCACAGAGCCACAGGTTGCAGACCTACTGGCTAACAGACAAGCACACAGACACAGGAAAAAACACTCGATTTTTGCCTTTCAGCAGGTGGGTGGCTAATTTTTTTGTTGTTTTAACTTCTTACCCCTTTGGAATGTAGCCAACAACATCAATGCCGTATCTTGTCTTAAAGGTGAACGCATAAGAAACTCCACATGCAATAACAGTCTGTGGGAAAACAAAAAAAAAAGATAATGTGGCAGCTAAAAGCTGTTTCTAGATTAACAGACATGAAGATTCTATTRTTTCAATTGAATTGTAAATTTTCATTTACCTGTCTGGATATGTTCATACAGCAAAACACATTTTTATGTGCCGGAAATGATCTCATGTTCTTTTATTGACTGACGTTTACAGGCTTGCAAAATKACAGCCAAAATCCGTTATCTTATCCCTTCAGATAACTAAAGCCTGCTTTGTCTTGAGGAAATGTTTATGAGGACCAGTGTTGCACAACACTCACCATGATAACCTCTATTGGGATGGGCACGGGCAGCTTGGATTTGAACCTGTCATTCAGTTCTTTCACAACCAGCACCACCAGCATGATCACCAGGGCAATCACCACGTCACACACGTTGCTGGATGTGATCTGAGTGAAAATGCTTTCCAGGGTCTGAAAAAAAAGAGGCGTTCAATAACCTTTTTTTTTTTGCTTGATATCAGATAAGCTGAGAGGAAGAAGATAATGGTCTGTATTTACATAGATGAGTGAAAGTGGTCCACTGAAGCCTGGGACGTGGAGCCCCAACACAAACTTGAGCTGGGACACCAGGATGTGGATGGCTGCAGCTGTGGTGAAGCCTGAAATCAGCGTGTCAGACAGGTACATGACAACAAAGCCCACCTGGAGGACCCCCATCGCCAGCTGGAACAGAGAGCTTACAGTGACTCCTACTGGTATGAAACTGGCACTAAATCCATGTTTTGTTTAGTTTTTTCTCTCAATAGAGGCCTCACAGCACTGAAGCACTATTCTGTTCACTGCTCTGTAATTTGAAGCATTAAAATAAAACATGTAAATTAAGCACCAAAAGATGCAACTTGATCAGAAATAGTGAGTCATGAATTGAACACATGAGAAAGAGCTACAGTTCAGACATCACAAAAGAAGTCCTTTCAAATTTAAAGTAGCCATATGGTGTTTTTAAATCCTTCTTTTTCACATTTAAATCATTCAGTTGGGGTCTATATGTAGTGTAACTGGCGGCACGACGGCTCAGTGGTTAGCACCGACGCCTCACAGCAAGAAGGTCCTGGGTTCGATCCCCGGTTCGGACCTGGGGTCTTTCTGTGCGGAGTTTGCATGTTCTCCTCGTGCTTGCGTGGGTTTTCTCCGGGTACTCCGGTTTCCCCCACAACACAAAAACATGTACAATAGGTTGCCTTCAGGCCCAGGCTGCCCTTGAAAAAGAGATCTGAGATCTCAATGGGATTTGCCTGGTAAAATAACGGTAAATAAAAAAAAAAAAAAAAAAAAAAACTGCAAAGCTTTGGTTTGAATTCCTCCTTAAATTCCACAAGCCCGCCTTTCACTCCTTTTCTGAGGCGTGTCTCAGATTAACTCATTTTGAGGCTGTCTCTTTAAAGACATTTTTAGAAGACAGTATTGTTAAATAGGTGAACAGCCCGTTCCTGCTGACACTGCCCCTGGCAGTKCAGAAGTCATGGACGTCATGCTTTGAGAGAACAGTAATCAACGGGGGATAAATAGAGGCGTGGAAAAAACACAGCTGCTCAGACCTGTTGCTGTCACTCGAGCTGCTGCTGAGTCGCAGGAGCATTAAAATAAAACTTATTATTTAGCAGTGAAAAAAAAATCCTATAATGTTTGTCTTTTAAAAGTTTAAGTTTCAAAATAGTGAGTCTTACGTGTTGGATAACTTTAGCTGGTATTTGTGTCAATGAAGTTAATTTTCTCCTGTGCAGATTATGAAGTTAAGCTCGTGGGGCTCGAAAAAAAAAAAAACACCGTAAGTTTAAATCCAGTGTTTCAATTTAAGAAACACGTAACTTATGGTTTTATCCACACTGCTGGATAATTTAACCCGCTATTCATGCCAATAAACTCTGTTTATTTTCTCCTCTGCATATATATWAAGTCTAGCTTATAACATCAAAACTTAACCTAATCTACAGGTCATTTAAATGAAATATCAGAAATGTATTTGTAAATAATTTTAAGCACTTTTTAAGCAGTTTAAGCAAAAACAGGATTTTGAGCCRAAAAACAATCAAGAGCATAACGTGTTATATTATTAATCTTGTTAGCCTGGAAAATTTCCTTATTTCAACAWATCATGCCAAGTGCAATTGTCTTACTGCGTTGGTAGATTATTCCACTTAATTTGAGTCCAAATCTTCTCAAATTTATCAAATTAAGTGAAATAATCTGCCAATGGAATAAGACAATTGCAGTTCTTGAAATAAGGAACACTCTTTTAAGTTTCCTCTTAACATCCTTGTTAGAATAATCTAAAAAAATGGACCAAATATCAATGGGTTATCCTGATTAGAAAAACAAMTCAATCAAATCTGGAACTGCTCATATCAGGATAATCCAGGAATCAAAATGTAGCATAAAAAGAAGTAATCTGAAAATGTGATGAGGTCATTTTGACCAGATTTGACTTAATTCTGAGTTTGATGGGACACATACACGTCCAGTCCTCTGAGGCTGCCATCCTGCCTGTTTTTTCTTGTTTCTCTGCTCCAACCCACCTGATTTGCATGAATGTTATTAATTAGTTTCTATAGAACTCAAGGAGATAATTCAAACACTGAACCAGATGTATTGGAGTGGAGAACCAAGGAAGACATGCAGGACAGTAGTCCTTGAGGGCCAGAGTTCACCTGTGAAAGAATTTACCTTAATAGAAAACAGAGTTGTCAAAAATAAAGTTGTTTTATAGYAAAGTTTCCAACCTGCATGAGACCAACCAGGAAGGTCACAGAGGAAGCCACTAACACTCTCTGTGCATCTATTGTCAGATCTTCAAACCCCGTGATGTTGAGAGGTGGCCCCTCATCTGGAACGAGTCGAGTGACCACTGAACCAATCATCAGACACAGGACTGGGAACGGGCCTGCATACAAGAAGAGTGATTTATTCAGAAAGCAGATAGTGTATTAAGTCAAAACACGATGCCACTACTCATTTCTTTAAGATCTTTATGTTACTGGTTCTTCAGCTACCTCCAGAGGTARCTGAGGAGTATCAGCAGGCCAAGTGGGCCACAGGCCTGGCCATTGCTGAGGCAAAAGCTCGGATGTGGGAGGAGTGAGGCCTTGGACAAAGACTCTCGATCAGCTCCAAGGGGATTCTGGCAAACCATTCCACAGCTAAGGTGAGGGAAACAGCACTTCACTAAACACTGTGCTCAGTGAAGGTGGGGTGCTGCTGACCTCAAACAATGATGTCAYTGGGAGGTGAAAGGAAGGGAATACTTCTCGGACCTTCTCAATCCCACATCTTCCCACTTCTTCTATGGAGGAAGAAGAGTCTGAGGACTTTGAGGATGGTCCGTCCATAGCTGGAGCTGAGGTCGCTGGGGTAGTGAAAAAGCTCCATGGCGGCAGGGCTCCAGAGTTGGATGACATCCACCCTGATTTCCTCAAGGCTCTGGATGTTGTGGGGCTGCCCTGATTGACATGCCTTTGCAACGTCGCGTGGACATTGGGGGCAGTGCCACTGGATTAGCAGACTGGGGTGGTGGTTCCCCTCTTTAAAAAAGGGGACCAAAGTGTGCTCCAATTACAGAGGAATCACTCTCTTTAACCTCCCCGGTAATGTCTATTTAGGGGTACTGTACATGGGACTCCGATTGATAGTCAAACCTCARATTCTGGAGGAACAATGTGGGTTCTGTCCTGGCCATGGAACACTGGATGACTCTTACCGTTACAAGGGTCCTTGAGGGGTCATGGGAGTTTGCCCATCCAGTCTTCATATGTTTTGTGGACATGGAGAAGGCATTTGATCATGTTCGTCAATGTACTCTGTGGAGGGTGCTACACAAGTATGGGATTGTGCGTCCATTGTTATGGGCAATTCAGTTCCYATACAAGCAGTGCAACAGTTTGGTTCACATTGTCAGTAGTAAGTTGGACCCATTCAGAGTGGGAGTTGGACTCAGCCAGGGCTGCCCGTTATCACCAATTCTGTTTATAATTGACATGGACAAAATTTCTCAGTGCATCCAGGGGTGGAGGAAGTCTGGTTCAGTGGCCTCAGGATTCCATCTCTGCTATTTGCAGATGATGTGGTTCTGTTGCGTCATCACACCATGATCTTCAGCTCTCATTGGAGTGGTTTGCAGCTGAGTGTGAAYCAGCTGGGATATGGATCAGTGCCTCCAAACCCGAGATCATGGTCTTGAGCCAGAAAATGGTAGAGTGCCACCTCCGGGTCAGGGAAGAGGTCCTGCCCCAAGTGGAGGAGTTTAAGTATATTTTTTATGATTGAGGGAAGAATGGAGCGGGAGATTGATAAGCAGATTGGTGCTGCATCTGCAGTGATGATTCATCGTGGTGAAGTGAGAGCTAAGGCAGAAGGGGAAGCTCTCGATTTACCACTCGGTCTACGTTCCTACCCTCATCTATGGTCACTAGCTTTGGGTAGTGGCCGAAAGAACAAGACTGCGAATACAAGCAGCCAAAATGAGTTTCCTCCGCAGGGTGTCTGGGCTCTCCTTTAGAGATAGGGTGAGAAGCTCGGTCATCCAGAAGGGACTCAGAGTAGAGCTGCTGCTTCTCCACATCGAGAGGAGCCAGTTGAGATGGCTCAGGTATCTAGTTAGGATGCCTCCTGCATGCCTCCCCGGTGAGGTGTTCCGGGCACGTCCCACTGGGAGAAGACCCAGAGAAAGCCCCAGGACATGCAGGAGGAAGCCTTGGGATTCCCGCAGATGAGCTGGCCCAAATGGCTGGGGAGAGGGTAGTCTGGGTCTTGGGCTGCTGCCCCTGTGACGCAACCCCGGATAAGCGGAAGAAAATGGACAGATGGACGGATGGGATATGTTGTCTAAAACATCACAGCGTGACAAAACCTTAACAGTTTGATCATGTCCAAGAACTGGTTTTAAAATGAAAACAACAAAATAACAACTTTGAAAGACCTTCAGAAAACTGGGAAACCATTGTCTAAGCCCAGTTAAAGACTGCTGCAAAGCCTGGATCTTTTAGAGCAAAATAGAAACAAATAAAAGTGGTTCCTGAATAAAAAAAAAAAAAAAAAGAGCTGTGCTGGCCTTACCCACTGAGATGTGTCGTGATGTGCCCAGGAAGAAATAGATGACAACTGGAAAAAAGGCTGAAAAAAGGCCGTACCAGGGGGGCAGAGAAGCCAGCAGACAGTAGGCCAGACCTTCAACACAAATAAATAAATAAACGAATAAATAAATATATTTACAGATATTCAGAATGTTATCATAGTCATGTCCTGATTCTCCTTATTTAATTTAATTTGACTTGAGAGTATATAAAATCACAGAAAATCACATAAAAAGTTTGTATTGGTCAACATAAATTTATTTAAAAACTTTTTTTTTACATGTCAAAGAAACCAAGGTCTAGAACAACATCCATAGATGGGGCACAAGTGCTGCAACCCCAGAACACCGGAAAAACAGGATTCTGCTATAGAAAATGTTAGATTCTGCAGCTTTTTAAACAGTAGGTACAATTATTGAGGCATTTTTGTTACATTTTAAGTATTCAGGCTGCATCCAGTTTGAATCCTGATTTCTGCTATACCAAATATATATGACTGGGGCTTTAGATGCTGTGTATCTTATATATTTACATTTCAAGCCTAATTCTTTGTATAGTTTGCATCACTGAGTGCTTTTTAACCTGGTTTCTTTACACCAGGGCTATTCAACTGGCAGCTCACCAATTGGTTCATTCATCTTTTAAGCCCAAAACCCCGGTTTTCTACTTTAATTACTCTAAGTTATTTTAGTTAAACATTGACATGTTTGGTATCTACAGAAACGTCAGAATCTTGGCTAGAAGCTGCTAAAAACCATTTCTATGAACATCCAAGACAGTTAAAACAACAAGCAGTTGAAGATAAAATGATGAAAGTGAAGTTTAAAAATTTGGCAAGTCAGAGATGTCAAAMTATTTGTGTCAAATGGGGGTATAATGTGTTCTTTTTGTTTTTGATAATGTTTAATTATCACTACTTTTATAGAGCTCTGTGTTGTATTCATGATTAAATGCAGCAAAATCAAATATTTCAAAGGTAACAGATCTTTGTAATACTTGGTTTATTTACATAATAACTTTCGTTGCTGGATGTTCGGCCCCTCAGTTGTTGACAGGCAGTAACCGTGGCCCCCGGAGCAGTATAGTTGAATAGCCCTGCTTTACACTATTTAATTCTAAAAAGACAACAGCAAAGAGCTCTAGATCCTTCCCCTCACCTTAGAGCCAGACCTTGGAGGGGTTTGTTGAAGAGTTACTGGAGACTGAGCCTCTACTCATGGAGCCTGACCAAGCTTATCCTAAATGAATAACATAAATTAGCCTTCCTCTGAACCCAACACCTGCAGGAGGGGCCATATGGGTCAGGTGATGTGTGCTATGGGTGGCAGTCAAAGGCCTTGGCATTTTGATTCAGACTTTTAGTGTCTGGGACATTTAAAATAAACCTCTCAGGTGGGAAAGGGGCCTGCATTTGGGCGTGAGGTTTAGAGTCTGGCTCATCTCAACCCACAGCATGCTCACATAGCAGACAGATGTGGGCCAGATCTGGTGTCAAGCTGGCACTGCTGGCTGACTGATTTATCTGCATTCACATACACAATTAAATAGTTTTGTCTTTAATATTATTTTTTTATCTTTAGAAACCAGGTTAAGGATTTACTGGCCAGTCTACGCTTCTACCCTCATCTATGGTCACAAGCTTTGGGTAGTGACCGAAAGAACAAGATCGCAGATACACGCGACCAAATCAGTTTCCTCTGCAGGGTGTCTGGGCTCTCCCTTAGAGAAGTTTGGTCATCTGGGAGGRACTCAGAGTAGAGCCGCTGCTCCTCCACATCGAGAGGAGCCAGTTGAGGTGGCTCGGGCATCTGGTTGGAATGCCTCCTGGACACCTCCTTGGTAAGGTGTTCTGGCCACATCTCATTGGGAGGAGACCTAGAGGAAGACCCAGGGCACGCTGGAGGGACTATGTTTCCCAGCTGGCCTGGAAATGCCTTGGGATTCTCCCAGACGAGCTGGCCCAAGTGGCTGGGAAGAGGGACGTTTATCTGCTTAGGCTGCTGCCCCTGCGACCCGATCCCGGATAAGCGGAAGAAAAAAAAAGTTACTTTATTCCCCATTTGTGACGTCTCCTAGCTGGATGGTGCCCTAAGCATTTTCGTACACTGCCTATGCACTGAGCTTGCCTTCAAGTGATCTCTTACTTTTGTTTGTGCCAGAGTAACCATTTTTCTTTAAGTCTCTGGAGAGGATGCTGGAAGGTGCTTCAGCTGGGGACTCCATCATTCTTATGGAGGACTTAAGTGCCTGCCTGGGTAGTAAAAGTACCTGGACTGGCAGAACTGTGAGGAACACCTTTCTGATCTGAGCCTGAGTGATGTTCTGTCATTGTGCTAGTCACAGTTTGTCCCTGAGGAACATCATGTCTGAACATAAGTCAATGATGTAAGAAAAAWGAAGCAAACAGTAATCAACATTCCTTCGATTAGCAGAAACAAAGAACACAGGTGTGATGATTGCAACTAAGAAGAGCAGTTTCACATTTATTAATCCCTTTCTGCAAAAGACATGTTTTGAAGTGTGTATTCAGTTTGTGTAATTTTTAAAAGCCCTGTTTATGTTAAAGCCGATCCTAAATAATGTGGTAACCTCTCAGGCAACAAATCCAAAAATATACGTGGAGACTCTTGTGAATGTTGGACTAAGATTGTTGACTTTTACCTTGGAGGACAGCTACCAGTCCTGTGCTGACACCTGACACAACGTCATTGAGGAGCCAGTCCCTGATCCTGTAGATCTTCATCCACCCAATCACTGGCAGAAGAGACAGAGCTGCACTCTTGGCTCGTTTAGAGTCACACCTAAAATGACACACAAACTGACTTTACTACACAAAACAAGAGCAACGATTCAAGAGTACTAGACAAAAAAATGTTAGGAATTTAAACTCTGTTAAAAGGATACTGATTGTCGTTTTATTTTACTTTTACTTTATTCTATTAAACTGTTGTGTTTTGGTGAAAGTGATGGATGGAACAACAGCGTACAACATCTTGTTCTCAACCCCAACAATCAACTATCTACATTAAGTTTTGTATTTCTTTCTAATTATTTTTCTCGAGTGTAATTTTGAGACAGTGTAGTTATAGTTTTATGCCTGTAGTAAGCTTAATAAAAACAATTTGTTAAAGAAGTATTGTCTGTTTAGAGCTTTAGATTGTTAACTGATGACAGGGAAGCCACAAGGCCAAGTTTAGAGCTGCACAAAATTAGAAAATCTTGCAATGGCGATATCAGATGCAATATATGTCTTTTTTCCCTTTCCTCCCTTTCTAAACGTACTTTTTACTCTTTGGCAATGTGTGTCTGATGTATGCTTTTGCTGCCATGAGACTTCAGCTGTGTCTAAATTCAGGGGTGGCGTCCTTCGAATGACCCGGCCTACACGGTTTAGGTGGGCCAGGTCCTTAGTCAACTGCGAAGACCGGAAATGCTGTAAAGCTCTAAATTTGGACGGTCTAGCCTTCAGCTTAATGCCCGCCCTAACCACAGCGTATGTCCTGTCAGCAATGCTAAACAGAAGCACAAAAAGTTTGAAATTATCAATATATTAGTATTAAAAATATCATACATGAACAAAATTAGCTTAAAGGCAATATTTGAAGAACTAATGGATCCACCGTACATGCWTGTTTATGTTTCATACATGTTTTGATTTCTGACATGAATAAAATTTAAAAAATGTCTATGCAAATGAGAAAAGCGTTAAGAACACAATCGCTTGAAACTTTCAAAATATATACCGGTCTATTTAAAAAAAAAAACTGGATTCCTTTCTCTGACTTCATCCGCCATTACAAGCAAAAAAAATAAAAATAAAAAAAATCTCTGGTTGGCCTGCAATGCATCATGGGATAGGCTAGGTCGAGAAGGCTCCAACTCAAATCTGGGAACAAGGAGGATGCTTTTGTCGGCCACACTGAAGGAGTATTCATATTTGGACAGCCTCCGTTGTGGAGCAGGGCCGACAAATAAGGCCTTCGGAGGACGTAGCCCTTGAAGTTCACTGCAAAAAATGTCCATCTTACCAAGTTTTAAAATCTTATATCCAGCCAAAAAGTCTTTTTGATCTTGTTTTGAGGCTGATTTACTAAATAAGAACTGATTGTGTAAGAATAATAATCTTGTTTTCAGAATGTGTAAGATTAT